TCTGACATCCAGCCCTCCACCCTCTGCCTTTCCCTCTTTCCAGGTCCTGGGGAGTCAGAGAAGGTACAGCAGCTGGAGGAGCAGGTGCAGAGCCTGACCAAGGAGCTACAAGGCCTTCGGGGCGTCCTTCAGGGACTGAGTGGACGCCTGGCAGAAGATGTGCAAAAGGCTGTAGAGACAGCTTTTAATGGGAGGCAGCAGCCAGCAGATGCAGCTGCCCGCCCTGGTGTGCATGAAACTCTCAATGAGATCCAGCACCAGCTGCAGCTCCTGGACAATCGGGTCTCTACCCATGACCAGGAGCTGGGCCACCTCAACAATCATCACAGTGGTGGAGGTGCAGGTGGCAGCAGAGACTCAGCCCCAGTCCCAGACCCTCCTGGCTACAATGAGGAGATACTCCGACAGCTGGAACGGCGGCTGCAGGAGTCCTGCTCTGTGTGCCTGGCTGGGCTGGATGGCCTCCGCCAGCAGCAGCAGGAAGACAAGGAGCGCCTTCGAGTGCTGGAGAAGCTACTGGCCTCCTTGGAGGAGCGGCAGCGGCAGTTTATGGGCCCTGCCTTGGGCCGCAGGCTGCCTCAGGAATGCTGCCCCCCAGACCTGGCCCGGCGACTGGCAGACCTGGAGCGGAGGCTGGATGTAGTGGCTGGCTCAGTGACAGTGCTGAGTGGACGGCGAGGCACTGAGCTGGGTGGAGCCTCTGGGCAGGGGGGCCACCCCCCTGGATATACCAGTTTAGCCTCCCGCCTCTCTGTCCTGGAGGACCGCTTCAACTCCACCCTGGGTCCCTCAGAGGAGCAGGAAGAGGGCTGGCCTGGGTCCCCTGGGGGGCTGGGCCATTGGCTGCCTGCTGCCCGGGGCCGCCTGGAGAAGCTGGAGGGGCTGTTGGCCAACATGAGTGGGGGGCTGAGTGGGCGCCTGGATCTGCTGGAAGAGCAGGTGGCAGGGGCTGTGCAGGCATGTGGACAGCTCTGCTCTGTGGCCCCCGCGGAGCAGGACTCTCAGGTTAAAGAGATTCTCAGTGCCTTGGAACAAAGGGTACTGGACACCCAGGGCCAGCTGCGGCTGGTGGGCTCCAGCCTGCACAAGCTGGAGGCAGCGGGGGAGGCTCAGCAGACTATGCTGGAGGGACTGCAAGGGATTGTGGGCCAGCTCCAAGAGCGCATGGATGCACAGGATGAGAGTGCTGCAGAGCTCATGCTGCGGCTGAATCTCACAGCGGCACAGCTGGGCCAACTGGAGGGTCTGCTGCAGGCCCGCGGGGACGAGGGCTGTGGCATTTGCGGTGGTGTCCAAGAGGAGCTGGGCCGCCTTCGGGATGGGGTGGAGCGCTGCTCCTGTCCCCTGTTACCTCCACGGGGTCCTGGGGCTGGTCCAGGTGTTGGGGGACCGAGCCGTGGGCCCCTGGATGGCTTCAGTGTGTTTGGGGGCAGCTCAGGCTCTGCCCTACAGGCCCTACAAGGAGAGCTCTCGGAAGTCATCCTCACCTTCAGCTCCCTCAATGACTCACTGCACGAGCTCCAGACCACCGTGGAGGGCCAGGGCGCTGATCTGGCTGACCTGGGGGCTACCAAGGACAGCATCATTTCCGAGATTAACAGGCTGCAACAGGAGGCCACAGAGCACATTACAGAGAGTGAGGAGCGCTTCCGAGGCCTAGAGGAGGGACAGGCACAGGCCGGCCAGTGCCCCAGCCTAGAGGGACGACTGGGCCGTCTCGAGGGAGTCTGTGAGCGGTTGGACACTGTGGCTGGGGGACTGCAGGGCCTACGTGACGGCCTTTCCAGACATGTGGCTGGGCTCTGGGCTGGGCTACGGGAAACCAACAGCAGTAGCCAGGCACAGGCAGCACTGCTGGAGAAGCTGCTGGGCGGACAGGCTGGCCTGGGCAGACGGCTTGGTGCCCTCAACAGCTCCCTGCTGCTGCTGGAGGACCGTCTGCAGCAGCTCAGCCTGAGAGACCTCACTGGTAAGGGGCAAGAGGAGGCATGGGGACCCCTTTTCAGGCCTTCCTTCTCCCCACCCCACAACAGCCCAGGCTTGACCTCTTCTACCTTCTCCTTGCTCTGCCCAACATGAGTTGCAGCCCCAATCACCGAGCCAGAGATTGCAGTGTGTGTGTAGAGATGACACAAGGTCCAAGTTCCATTGCCTCCTCTGGCTGCTCAGATAGGCCTATGGGTGCAGGTGGGATGTTGCTCTGCCAGCCAGGTATCCAGCATGGACAGGAAGAACCCCATCTCTCTGTCAACCTGCAAAACCCCACCTGTTTCATGCATCCTAATATTCATAAAGCCACTGGCTTTTTATCCACTGGAAATTCCCTTTGGGGCTGGGTGTGGTGGGGCACACCTGTAATCCCAGCAGTTGGGAGGCTGAGGCAGGAGGATTCTTTCGAGTTTGAGGCCATCCTGGGCTACAAAGTAAGCTCAAGCCCAGCCTCAACTGCATAGTGAAACTCTGTCTAAAAAAAAAGAAAAAAGAAATTCCCTTTGAAGTCTTCTTCAACTTAGTTTTGTCACCACAGGACCTTCAGGTGAGGCTGGGCCCCCAGGGCCTCCTGGGATACAGGGGCCCCCAGGCCCTGCTGGACCTCCAGGACCCCCAGGCATGAATGGACAAAGAGGCCCCATTGGACCACCAGGTATGTAGTCTGAGACCCTTACTGTAACCAAGGTTATCTGCTCCTATCCCCAGCCCTAGGCTTGACATTCCACCGACTGTGAGGAGAAGGGGAAGTGGTGAGGAACTGGGGGCTCCCAGGGGCTGATGGTGGAAAGAGAGGAAAGTGAATAGGAGCTGGGATAATCACTGTGTTTGGCTGTTGGATGTGTTGGTCCCGCTACTGCATTGGAGAGCAGGGCTGAGCCTGCAAGGGCCACCTGGGGTGTGAAAGTCTGAGGCTAAGGCTCATGGCCCCAGAGTTGAACAGAGTGTGTCTATTTCTCCTTTTCCTGCCATCCCACTTCTGCTTTCAAATCCACATAGTGCATGCCTGTAATCCCAGCACTCTGGGAGGCTGAGGCAGGAGCCCAGCCCAGGCAATTTAGTAAGACTCTATCTTAAATAACTGAATAAAAGGGGCTGAGGATGCAGCTCAGTGGAAAGGCCCTGGCTTCAATTACTAGTACGAAAAATTTAGAGAGGGGCGGGGGAAGAAAAGGAAGAAATCCACATAGCACATAGGACCCAGAACAGCAGGAAAGACTCAGCAGACGTTTGCTGAGTGACTTAGTGAGAGGTGCCTTCAGTCTCACCACTCCTTTTTCCTCTTCTCACAGGTCCCCAAGGTGAACAGGGTAAGTTAGATTTTGGACAAACTGACGTCTGCCCTGGAGGTCGGAAGCCTTCAGGCAGCCCTGAGCGGAGATAACCAGGGGAGGGGGCTGGCCAGCCCTGACTGAGCGTCCACCCTAACACCCACCCTAACACCCACCCAGGAGTGGAGGGGGCGCCGGCGGTCTCCGTGCCGCGGGTGGCGTTTTCAGCTGCCCTGAGTTTGCCGCGGTCGGAACCAGGCACAGTCCCCTTCGACAGAGTCCTGCTCAACGACGGAGGCTTCTACGACCCAGAGACCGGTAAGCCAGAGGGGGCGGGGTCGAGCGCTTGGAGAAATAGGTAAATCTGGGCAGCTACTTCTCACTGGAGAATCTTTTCATCCTTGGATTTGGGCAGACCCGACTCTTTCCATCGATTATTCTTCCTCACCACAGCTTGGACAGGGGACCGCGTGGGGAGGGCAGCAGTCATTGATTCCACAGATGCTTACTAGGGCCCGCTCGCGGCCAGACAATGCTTTAGGAGCCCAGCGATGCAGTAGTGGGATACAGACGAAAGGATCCAGCAGTCCCTTCTAGTCCAGGAGCGCTGGATGGGCTTCCCGAGCCTTCCCGGCCCCGGCCTCTGTCTCCCCTCACGACTGCCATCCTTGTCCCCAGGGGTGTTCACCGCGCCACTGGCCGGACGCTACTTGCTGAGCGCGGTGCTGACCGGGCACCGGCACGAAAAAGTGGAGGCCGTGCTATCCCGCTCCAATCTGGGTGTGGCCCGCATAGACTCCGGCGGCTACGAGCCCGAGGGCTTGGAGAATAAACCGGTGGCCGAGAGCCAGCCCAGCCCGGGCGCTCTGGGAGTCTTCAGCCTCATCCTGCCCCTGCAGGCCGGGGACACGGTCTGCATTGACCTGGTCATGGGGCAGCTGGCTCACTCGGAGGAGCCGCTCACCATCTTCAGCGGAGCCCTGCTCTACGAGGACCTGGACCTTGAACAGGTGTAGAAGTGCCGCAGTGCTCGCCGGCCAAAGCCAGCAGCGGCGGCTCCGGCCCGGGTCGCGCATCGCCCCGGCGCCAGCCCTCTGCGAGCCCGCCCGCCTCTCCCACGCCCGGAACGCGCAGGCTCGGGGGCTGCGGCGCCCCCTCCAGACTTCCGGCCCGGCCGCGTCCGCCCCAGGACCCGGAGTGGGAGGAGGAGCCGATCCTCGCACTCCGCTCCTCAGCCGGGCTCCCAGGCCGAGCTCCTGCGTGCGGCAGGCTCCGGCCCGCACCACCATACTAAACTATTCAGGAATAAAGACACTTGGTTTTTTTCTACAAAAACAATTGTGCTGTCCAGTGCGTGCTCAGGGTTAGACAGGAGCGCACGGAACGGGACGGGAGACAACGGTCCACGCAAGGGACCCCGGCCCCTGCGCAACGCACCGCGCCCGCACCCTCGATGCGGCGGTCTCCTGGCAGCTCCGCCCACCCTGACGCGGGAGGCTTGGGCCGCCAGGTGCGTGCGCCCGCCACCGGGGCTTCAGCCCGAACCTCCGCGGCTCACGCCCGGCGTGCGGGAGCGCCAGGGTGCGCTGTGCGCGAGTCCTTCCCGCCGCTTGGCAGCGTTCCCGTCACGTGACGCGCGGTGGGCGGGGCCCCCGGGGGCGGAGCGAGGCCGCGAGGCGGGGCTGCGAGGCGGGGCTGCGAGGCGGGGCTGCGAGGCGGGGCTGCGAGGCGGGGCTGCGAGGCGGGGCTGCGAGGCGGGGCTGCGAGACCCGGCTCCTCTCCTCTCTCCCGGGTCCCCAGCGGCCCCGGCAGGTGCAGGGAGGGGCGGGTGGCTCAGGGTTGCGCGCTTTCGCTTTGCAATCGTTGCCTAGCCGCTTTCTAGTCTGACTAGGGGGGAGACTGAGGCCCAGGGGCCGGAGGCGTTGTGATCTGCAGGGCCAGCTACCGGCCCCCGGCCAACTGCAGCCTCCCTGCGGCGCGAGGTCGCAGGAGGAGGAGCTCCGCACGTGGAGGAGGAGCCAGAGCTGCCCTGGCGGCGAGGACTCCAGCCTCTCAATAAGAGGCCGAGCAGACAGGAGGAGCCCTGTCAGCCGGGCTGCTCAGAAGCTCGGAGAGCGACCTCATGGAAGAGAAGCAGATTCTGTGCGTGGGGCTGGTGGTGCTGGACGTCATCAGTGTGGTGGACAAGTACCCGGAGGAGGACACGGACCGCAGGTAGGGGCGTCCAGGCCCCTCGGAGACCAAGGTTGCGGTCAGGGCCCCCCAGTGCAGCCTGCAACCGGGCGCCCCCTGACAGGGACGCCTGGGGGGCGGTCAGCAGGAGAGAAGAGGAACTAAGACCCAGGATTTGGATAGCGCTGGTAGCCACTTCCCACCTCAGCCCAGGACTGCGTCAGGCATCAGGGTCCGCATTGTACTGATAAACCGGTAGAAGAGGGATGAAATGATTGATTTGTCCAAACGCATACAGCTAGTAAGGTGCAGGGCAGGGCCAGTCTCCTCTTTTCTTTTTTCTTTTTGTTTTGTTTTGTTTTTGAGACAGAGTCTCTATATAGTTCAAACTGGCCTTGAACTTCCTATGTAGCCCAGGCTGACCTCAAACTCTTGGCGATCCTCCTGCCTCAGCCTCCCCAGTGCTGGGACTATAGGCATGCGCCACCATACCCGGCCCTCCTCCTCTAATTTTTTTTTTTAACTCCAAGCCTGTGCATGACTCTTCCACTAACATTCACTACTTCTTCTTCTCCTCCTTCTCCTTCTCCTTTTCCTCCTGTTTTTATTATTATTATTATTATTATTATTATTATTATTATTATTATTATTATTATTTTGAGACAGGGTCTCACTACATAGTCCCGGCTGGCCTTAAACTCACTCTGCAGCCCAGGGTGCCTTCCGACTCATGGTGATTCTCCTGCCTCAGCCTTCTGAGTATTGCATTACGGTTATAGGCGTTCACAACTACACCCTGTTGCTCACTTCTAATTTATTTACCATGTACCTATTCCACCCATTTCCAAAATGATGTGAGGTAGTTTACAGTGAGAAATGTGTGCAGCAAGATTGTCCTGAACGTTTAGGACCATGGAATTTGAGCTTTGACCATAGCTCAGGCTGGCAAGCACTGCAAGCAAACCCCAGCTGCCCTGGTTAAGGGATAGAGCTGGCTCATGAGCCGCTGCAAGCTTTCCCCAGTCCTCAGTTCCAAAAGCAGTCCAGAAGCCAGTTGCTGGTATACCAGAAGTCTCCCAGAAGCTGGTATAGCGCCAGTTGTGTGGCAGAAGCTGGAGTCTTTTGACAGTTCTTATCTCGACTCTCAGTGAGGGCCCTGTATTAGGCTGTCATGCTGTGGAGGCGTGTCTGGGGCTTTCTCTCCCGTGGACTTGGCACACTGAAGATTGCTCCTTGGCCATCAGTTATTGCGGCCAAGGACTGGATGGAAGGCAGTTCAAGGCTAAGCTCTGGCAGGTGCTGTAGCACGGAGCACTGTGGGACTGACGGGCAGCCCCGGGCGCTCTTGGGTTTTCGGTCCCAGAGCCCTTGTACTTCCCTGGACTGTGAAGGCATCAGTCAAATCCTTTTCCAGATGAGGAAGCTGAAGATTAGGAAAAATGAAATTATTTTCATCAGGCCACATATTTAATAAGTAGTAGAGCGCAGTTACAACTCATGTCCCCTCTGGCCCCAGCCTTCTGTCCTCTCTTGTCCTTCGTGTCCTTTTGCTGCTGCCCATCTCCTGGAGTTGACCCACTGTTTTGGGCCACTTTGTCTGCCACAGGTTAGCGCCCCTTGCCAGGGTGCAGGGACTGTGGGGAAAGGGTACAGAGTGTACTTCAGTGTAGACCTAAGGCTGGTGAGCCAGCCCTGGGGTGGGTGCTAAGGGGGAGTTAGACTTACACTCTGGAGAACATGCAAACTCTGGGGCGCTGTGCCAGGCGGGGCAGACCTGGGCACCCCATCCTTCCAGAGCCCAAGTCCCATTTCCCTTGAGCCTGGCTAGGGAGTGGGCTCAGAGGGCCTGCTGCTGCCATGCGAAGGGGGGTGCTGTGGGGGTGCTGCTCTCCGAGCCCTGCCCCTGTCTGTGGGACTCCCCTCCCTCAGGGTGTGCCTCCCTCCCCCACCCTGCTTCTCCAAGCCCTGCTCCTGGACTCTTCCAGGCCTCCCAGAGTAGACCCAGTCCTTCCCTGGCATCTCAGCCCTGCTGTCCCAAAGGCTCTCAGGACTTGGAGTTCAGCCAGACCCCTGAGGAGTGGCTCTTACCTTCCAGAGTCCATGGCCAGGAGAAGCCTCTCGAAAGCACCCGGACGCTGGGCTGAGTGTTTCTGCACAGGAAGGATCATTATGCCTTGGAAGGCGACTACAGAATGAAATTCCATTCCTTTTCTTAGAAATGTCATCAATACGTAGGCCTGCTTTCCATTTTAAAGTACAGGATAACTGAGCCAGGCATAATGCCTGTAATGTAATCCCAGCACTTGGGAGGCTGAGACAGGAGGATTCCAGCGAGTTTAAGGCTGGCATAGGCTACATTGTGAGTTCAAGGCCAGCCTGTCTCAAAAGACCAAAAAATGAATAAATAAAAATGAAATAGAGTATAAGTAGCAGTGGCTTTGGAGTCAGGAGACCCAGGTTCTGATGTGAACTTTGTCGCATCATTATTATCTTGAGCAAGTTCAGTACCTCTAGGCTCGTGTTTTCTTTGCAGGAATATTTTTCCCAAACAACACAGGTGTGAAAAATCTTTGATCCTTTAGCAATTTTGTCCCCACCCCAGGCAGTACTAGGGATTGAACCTAGGGCTTCATGCCCGCAAATGTTCTACCAAGGAGCTACACCTCCAGCCCAGAATCTTTTTTTTCCCAATGAGATCATTCTTTCCCCAAGGCTTGAGAGAACTTCAGAGCTGTTTTGTTTATTTGTTTTTGTTTTTGTGTTTGTTTGTTGAGACAAGATCTTGCTGTATAGCCCAGGCTGACCTCAAACTCACAGCAATTTCTATTTCTGAGTGCTGGGATTACAGGTGTGCAGCACCACATTGGGCCAGGATTATGATTTGTGTACAAATATACCTTTGCATAAAAATTCTGGGTTAGCCTAGCATGGTGGTGCATGCCTATAACCCAACAGTCTGGGAGGCTGAGACAGGAGGATTGCAAGTTTGAACCCAGTTTGGGTAATGTAGTGATTTACCAAGATTCTGTCACAAACAAGCAAACAAACTGAGGTAGGGATGTAACCCAGTGAGAAGGCCCTGAATTTAATCCCCAAGATCTTGCACCACAAAAATTTCTGATTCAATTGTCTCTCTTTCTCTCTCTGCTTTTTCTGTGGTACTGAGGATTGAACCCAGGTCCTCAAATGGGCGCTGTACCACTAAACTACATCCCCAACCCTTTTAAAATTTTATTTTGAGATAAGGTCTCATTAAATTGCCTAGGCTGGCCTCAAACTTGAGGTTCTCCTGCCTCAGCCTCCCAAGTAGCTAGAATTACAGACATGTGCCACTGCTCTTGGCTCAGTTATTTCTCTTAGTGGTTCATTGGTACTTGTTCCCTGTATTGTAAGATACCACAGTCATTGCTATTACAATTATTACATGAAGCTAGCACAATAGAGATAACCTACATTGTTTGCCTTGCAGTTTTATTGGTGTACAAGTGAGAAATTAAAGTCCTCTGAGCCTGTGTATATGTTATTATTTTTGTTCATGATGATTGCACAGCTCTTCAGGTACATCCTGTTAGTTTGCTTTTGACAGATTTTCAGTAAAGATGAAGAAAAACTGTTCTTTTGGACTTTTGATATTGTGCTGTTACCTCCCACCCTTTTTTGGGTGGTGGTGGTGGTGGTAGTGGTGCTGGGGAGAAAACCCAGGCTCTTGGCCATGCTAGGCAAGCACTTTGCCACTGACCTACATCCCTTGCCAACACACACTTTTTAAATAACCACAGAATCAGGCTTGTTCTCTCATTTTGGTGTTTTGTTGTTTCTTTGTTTTCTTTTGCAGTGCTGGGAATTGAACCCAGTGCCTCATGCAAACTAGGCAAGGGCTCTCCCCCTGGGCTGTGTCCTAGCCCCTTATCTTGTTTTACCTCTGCAGCAGGTTTTACCTGCAGGTAAAAGAGGTTTTACCTCTGCAGCAGGTTCTGCTGAGACAGGAGTAGGTGGTGAATGTGACCCTTGGGAAGAGGTGCTGGGCCCCCAAAGCCCTTGGAGTTGATGCAGCGATCAGGGAGGGGGCTGAAGTTACCGGCCGGTGGGCACAACCTTGACTCAGGAAAGGATTCCTATGACTGAGGAGATGACCCAGAGTTAGTGGAACCCTCAAAATGTGGTGGGCCCCAGTGCATGCTTTCCTGATGCCCTAAAAGAACAGAGGGAGGCATTGAATGTCTCTTGAGTTTGAATGCAGCTCAACCTGGCCTGTGGCCCGGCCCCTTCCCTTGAAGGCCAAACCTCAGCTGCCCTATCTAGAAAATGAGCTGGCTGCCTAGATGCTTTATGAGGGGTATCCTCTGCTCTCAAATTCTACAGACACCCTAGACGGGGGATTGTAGTTGGTTTGCTTCTTCTGGGACCACTTGGCTGGCGCTTTGAGACCAACCTTGTGCTTTGCAGGTGCCTGTCCCAGAGATGGCAGCGTGGAGGCAACGCATCCAACTCCTGCACCGTCCTTTCCCTGCTCGGAGCCCCCTGTGCCTTCATGGGCTCCCTGGCGCCTGGCCATGTTGCCGAGTGAGTCCAGGAGGAGTGTGAGCTGGGAGGGCTGGTCCTTGGGGTGTGGGGAGAATGTTCCCACTCTGGGTGGACCCGGTAGAAGAAATGAGTGGTTGGAAGCCTCCAGAAGCGGGGAGGGGTGCAGGGGAGGATGAGACTTCCAGACCCTCCTAGGCAGCCTGTCTGCTGTTCAGCTGTTAATGTTCCTGTGAAGGTTTCTTTCCACAGCTTGCAGTGAAGCCCGCTTAGGCTTCCATGCTTCCTCCTTCCTTGCTTGCTATAGACTCTGCGGTGGATTCGCCTTTGGCCTTCCCAAGCCCCTTTTTCTGGCTGTGCTTGAGGCAGAAGGTAGTTAGGGACATGCTCTCCTTCCCTCCAGCATCCATGGTCCCAGGGTTGAGGCCCATGGTTTACTTCCCAGTTGAAGGGCAGGGCCAAGTGTTCACGTCCTTGTTCGTGAAACAGCAAAAGTGCCTGGCTCAGGACACCCCAAAGCCACGTGCTAAAGCTGGTCCCAGAACTCCCAGCTTGATGCCTAGACTGTAGCCCATGAGCAACCCATGTACTTTCTCCATGTCCGCTGATTTGAGGAACCAGGAGCCCTTTGGCCCCTGGCACTGCCGACTCGGCAAGCCCTTATCAGGAGGTGAGGCCCACACTTTGCCCAGTGTGAGTAGCAGGGCAGGCTGCCAGGTTGCTGGCCTGTGACATGCAGTCCTTTGAACCCTGGTTTGAAGGAGCTGTTGCAAAAGATCAGCCACCTGCACCACAGCCCAATTCCCTGCATCGATGGACTGCTACAAAGCATATGGGGCAAGAAGCTGCCCTGGGATGGGATTGAGGGACTCAGAGCCAAGGGCTGGCCACTTGGCTCTCTCAGTAGCTCCTCCCCTTCTGGCTGGAGGTAGAACTGGGGCTCTTGCTTAGGGTGGTGGACTGTGCTACATATAACAGTCACACTGGTGCATGGGCGGTTTAGAATTCTCCCCATATGTTCGTTCAGCAAGCATTTAATGTGCACCTACCATGTGTCAGGCACTGTAGGCACAGAAAATTATTTGGCAGACCAAACCATATCTCCAATGCTTTGGTAAAACTACTATTCAAAGGACCTTTGAGGTTTTTTTTTTTTTTTTTTTCCGGTACCAGGAATCGAACTCATGACCTCACACTTGCCAGGCAGGCGCTGTGCCACTGAGCTAAATCCCTAGCCCCAGGACCTTTGAGTTGTAAGACAAGGTATGATGTCCTGATTTGGTACCCACAACACTGACCTCTTAAAACTCAATTACAAAAACATTAAGTCCTGCTCAGAGCTGCTTCCTAGTGGTCTCTATCACTGGCGTGTCCAGCTTTGGTGTTGCTGAAGGTGGGATCTGGTCACAGAAACTCAGGAGGATGGCTGGACTGCCCAGCATGGCTGCCACCTCTCAGGCATAGATCAGTGCCTTTCCTGGCAGGGCTGGGAAGGATGGGGCTGGCCTCCCATTCTCCTGCTGGTGCCTCTTCCTGAGGGGTGTCCTCGGGCTCACTCCACTGGAGGGCATCCTGGGAAGTTGTCCTGGACCAGGCCCATACCAACCACTGGGCCAGGAGCACTAGGAGCCAGCTCAGGGCCCAGGGAATTAGGCTGGCTTTGAGATGACAGGACAGTGAGGAGAACTACCGCATGCTTCCTGGCTGGGCATCCTGGAGGCAGGTGTAGAATGAGAGGAACCACAGTAATACTGGGAAAAATGCCCATGGGATGAACATGCAGAAGCCAGCAAGGGGGTGGGCACAGAATGTCACCTTGGCGATAAATTATTAATTCTGCCTGGGCCTGGCATGAAGCAGGTCACAGTGCCCACATCTGCTTGGTTCAAGCAGGATACAGGTCCTAGGCCCAGATCTACCCCTATCTAGCTTTAGGGGCAGCAGTAAATCCTTATCAGCCTGAGTCAGCCTGAGAGACAGGTCATGCATGGTGGGAGTTTGCAGCAGTGGGGACCTGAGCCCTGTCCCTCCGTGCTTCTCTCTCTGAGCACCAGACTCTGCAGCCCTGCCTCACTTGCCCCCTCGTACAGCCTGTAGCAAGACAGAGATTCCTAGTTTCCTCCTGGCCTCTTGTGCTTGCACCCCTGCCTTTCAGGGGCCCCCATGGCCTCGCCAGCTGGCCTCCAGTTCCCCGCACCCTTGCCGAACTGCACCTCCCCTGGCTTGCTCCACCCTGGCAGTTTTGTCCTGGACGACCTCCGCCGCTATTCCGTGGACCTACGCTATGCGGTCTTTCAGACCACCGGCTCCATCCCCACCTCTGCGGTCATCATCAGCGAGGCCACTGGTAGCCGTACCATCCTCCACGCCTACAGGTTTGTGCACCTGTCTGCGCGTTGCCAGCTGCCGCCGCCGTCACTAAACTCCAAGGACAGGACCCTTCTTCTTTCAGAGGCCTGTGTGCCCCAGCACACCCTTCCCACTCCCATGGGTAGTCCAGGCCACGTGTGGGCTCTAATCTGTGTCTCCTTCCCCTTTCCCTGGCTCGGGAAAGCTTCCTGGTGGCTGACTTCAGGCGGCGGGGCGTGGACGTGTCTCAGGTGTCCTGGCAGAGCAGAGGGGACACCCCTTGCTCCTGCTGCATCGTCAACATCTCCAATGGCTCCCGTACCATTGTGCTCTACGACACGTAAGGCCCCCTGGCCTTGCCCTGCCACAACCTACCAATCAGTTCCCTCGCTCACCGCTGTGGGCACCCCAACCTCCCCCCAGCCATGTGGCTGCTCTCTACTAGAAATTGCCCCCATGTTCAATGACTTCTGAATTGTTTCCAATTAAGGGAGAAATGAGGTGGGAAGCCACGGGCTCCCTTCTGCCCTGGTGCCTTGGTTTTGGTCAGCACCAATAATGGGCAGGCATCATTGCCTATTTCGGATGTAATTGATGACGTGATTCCTCTATAATTAGTCCATCAGCAGTCTGTGGGTATGGGGAAAATGTTCCTGGGATGGAGGGGTGGGAAATGTAGGTCAATCCCTCTTAAGCCCTGAAGGGCTAGGGGCCCTGAATTAGGGCAAGGGGCCTACTGGAATTTCCAGGATCAGCCCCAGAATTGTCAGCCTGCAGCATGGTATCAAGGACCTAGAAAGAGATGGATGTTCAAAAGAGGCTGGGCATGGTGGCACATCTGTAATCTCAGCTACTTGGGAAGCTGAGGCAGGAGGGTTACAAATTCGAGGCCAGCTTAGGCAGTTTAGCAAGACTTTGTCTCAAAATAAGAATTTTTAAAAGGATTGGAGATTAAGTCATTCTACATAATGAAACCAAACACACGATGCAGCAAACACACCTCCATACACCATTTACAGTCACTACTAAAGGAGAGGGTAGGGAGATGTCGGGTCAGCAGATCAGGACCATTGATGAAGTGGACCCTCCTTCAGGGCCCCAAGCTCCTTGGGAGAGCTGCTATGGGCCTCAGCTCTTCTCATCCCTCCCGAAGACTCTCAAAGATTTAGTTTCCTGAGAACTTGATATGTGCCAGGTATTGTGTTAGGGTTTCGGGAGCCCGAGCCCATCTGCCCTGGTATTCAGGCTGTCCCTACTGCCTAGGCTGACCTCTGGACCTGGAGGATAGGCGAAATCACCCATCCGAGGGTAGTGGTGGGGAACCAATGGCACTTGTGTTATTGTTTTTCTTTGAAGACAACAGATGTTAATGTATGAGTTGTTTTTCTAAACTAAAACCCCAGTGTTTGGGTTTAATTGCTGTATTGGCACTTCTCGATAAATAAGTGGGTCTTGGGTTACAGTTTAGCACTAAGTCTCTAGAAGGTTCGCCATCACTGTCCTGGGGCAAGCTTATGGTCCCTGGGCTCTGTATGCCCCAACAAATGAGTACACACACATATGTGCTAGAGGTAACCTTGAGATTTGGGCAGTCCTTGCCATCTGCCCATGGGCAGTGATCTGTGGCAACTCCAATCAAGGAGACAGTGTAGATACTCAGAGGAAGACAGGGGCGGGGATCTAAGAGAAAGTGTTTATTGTCCATTGGCTTCTGTCCATGAATGTGCACACACATAACCTTCAACTACGGCAGGCCTGGGAGTAGGAGAGTTTCAGCCCCGTGTGCCTGTGAGGTTGTGGCCTCAGAAAGGCCCAGGCTACATAGCCAGTGGAAGAAAAGAACAGAATGCAGAGGAGGGACATCGGCTGTGTGTAGGGGTCTGGCCAAAGAGGTTCACTGAGGTAGACCCCTTCCTGGGTCTCCAATCCTAGGCTGGCCAAACAAACTCTTCCTGAAATGCCAACTTTAACTTCAGAGTTGTGACAGGGAGCTGCCAAACTCAGGTCATGGTGTTCAGGGTGCCACAGGCAAGATTCCAATGCTATGACTCCAGAAGTTGGCAGCATTAGAGCCTGTGCCCTGTAGTCTAGCCATGGGCTTTGTAGTTCACCAGAGCATTGCATTCTGGGAGCTGTGTGCCTACAGCAAGAGGGATTCTGGGAAGTGTAGTCCCTGGTACTCAGCCTTCTGTGAGATATGGTTTTCTAGGCACACAGAGCTA